GTCAGATCCCTGCAGATCAATACTTGAAAATTAATCCAACACCTATTTGTAACTGACTATGAGATGGAATTCCTAGAGTTCTTTCCGGAATTCACCGAGTCCACGCAGTCGGATATGAGGGCAGATACTTACTAATGATACTGACTAAAGTCACTGGGATGGACTCCCAACGAGATCATAAGTATATATTTTCTATAGTTGGTTTGTAATGGTTAGTTTTGTTTTTACGAGTTGATCACGGATTGATATCAATTAGAGAACCATTGAAAACCATCCGGGGAGTACTGGATAGCTGGCTGTTTCATCCTAGTTTGGGAATGATTGACAGTACGAAATTTCGAACCCAGGACCTTCCGGTTGGAAGACAAGCTATCTTGTATACCATTCAGCCACTGGGACCCGATTCAATGGCCAGTGCATGAATTCTAACTCCTATGAATTCGTGATTTTAGCGCGACCACCAACCAATGTCGTCGGTGGGACATCCATCCTCACACCTGTTGTCTGGATGGACCTCACTGGGCACGACCTCTCAGTATAACTCCAGGAAACTCCGTCCTGTAGCGAGTTACTAGCAAGCATCAGATTAATTTTCAGGAGTTTGGTTTGTAAGGATTAGTTTTGTTTTTACGAGCTGACCACGGATTGAATCGGGTCCCTGTGGCTGAATGCTGTACGTGCTTGCCTTGTAACCGAAAGGCATACTGCCAATGATCCCCAGACTGGGATGAAACAGCCAGATATCCAGTACTCCCCAGATGGTTTTCAATGGTTCTCTAACTGATATCAATCCGTGATCAACTCATAAAAATAAGTATATATTGCTAAAGTATCCCAGACTATTACAAACTATTTGTTCAGTGCTCCCTAGTTTTCAGTGACTTTTCATCTTGTCTCACTTCATTATGTGGTTCCAAATAAAAACATTTTATTATCCGCATACTAAATCCTTCAGATATAATAGGCAAAAGAAGTGTGACACCTGTAGTTTCATTTAAATCCTCCTGAAATTCTTTCCTAAACATACCTCCAACCATGAACTATAAAAGGATCTTGTATCCTGGATGAAAACTGTCAAGGTTTACATATGAAATTTTTTATAGATCTTACCTTCTCTGAAATAAAATCTCTACAAGTTGTTAAACAATGCAGCTGTTATTTTTTTGATCTTGTTTTTCTAAATAGAGGGTGGTATTTGTAAAGCTCCACAATTCAATGATGCTGCATGGTTCGAGGATATGTGCCTATCGTGTTATTGTTCAAATGTGACAGATAAGTGTGAAAGTGTAAAAGGCTATCGAAAATCTCCGGTAAGACTTTACTTTAGGCTTGTTGTCTTTTCTTTTTCTTCTTTTACTGGAAATGAAAACTATTGATTTAATTTGAAATGTCAAGCTTTTGATCTTACAATATGTCATATATAGTCGATATTGTAAATCATCTCCTAATCCAAGGGCACTTTTTTGTATAGGACATATATTCGATAAAAAATGCCGGACAGTGTTATCAGATTACTGAAATAGATAAATAGACGAGATAAAAGTTACGTAACTTTTTTTAACAATAATAGAGAAAATGTGTAGCCCAGGTGGATTTTATAGTGTCGTTGTATTCTCTGAGCTGAATGGTTTAATTGTGAAGTATCCGCTGTCTTTCTGGACGGTGTATTCAGTGAGAACTTCAATGTGAAGTGAGCTTTGTGGCTTCTGCTTGCATGGGCAAGAGTAAACAACAGACACCAAGGTCAAATGACCTTGATTTGACCAATCAGTCAGATAGGTCAGCATCACAAATGGTTGCTAGTCAAGATCTTCGTTGAATATGTCTTCTAGATTTCGTTTTTGACTTCTCTGTGGAAAATGAGTTGATAGAGAGGAATAGAAACATGCATATGTGGAGGGATTATGGCTCTGAAAAAGTATTTCCGGGCTATTGATGGTTATACACTCTACATAATCGGTGAGTTTTTTAGACACTTTCTTCTCGAAATCAAAGCTCTTTCATAGTAATATATTGCCTAAATGCAACCAGTATCTGCTACAGCTGGGGAAATAGAGAATACATTAGTTTGATATGTCTATAACCACTTCTACAAGAATCTGGGACCAGTTTTTGCAGCATATTAGAGATATATCTTATATGATTCCTTTTTATTACATACACATCATAGATACACTTCTTTGTAAATTAAGTAACACTTTTTACCTAGAAGAATCTGATTGGCTGTTTCAAGGTCGTCTGAAGTTGGTGTCTATTGTTTACTATTGCCCTCGGATGAAATATCTGTCTTTTCTGAGGAACTTCACTGTGATTGACTACTCCCGTGGATTTTCTTATGACTGCGCTCACTTGTATTGACGCTGAGCTCACTTCGTTGACCTGATATTTGATCTTTCGATCATGTGATCTATTCTTGGCTGATTAATAAATTCAGCCTATATCAACTTTTCCATAAACAGGATATTCTTTTGGGTACTAGGTCTCTAGGAATTCTATAGAGTTCTTTGTGTCTTCTCTGTTTAAGAGTTTGACGTCCTATCAAATGGTCTGATGCGCTCACAAACGAATTCATAGGAACGAATATGAGTCATGTTATTTGACTCTAAGGTTTGTGTTCATTCTTAAGAAGATCTAGAGGACGTCCACTTTTGCTGACATAGTGCTTTTCGCTGTTCATGCATAGATAGATAGACATCAATAACCTTAGTTTTGTCTTGTCTGACTGATTAGCTCTTTGGTTTACATCCGTAAACATAAACTAGCAGCCAGCAGATATAACACGCGTTCCTCCATATCGGGAGGTTGAATCAACTGTTATGTTAGATGGAACCACGTAGGAAGATAATATTATATGAAGGGTCAGCATATCCCCGAGCTCTTTGTGTATAAAAGCTTTTTTCCAGTCTCTTATTTTACCACAGTCTTAAACTCCTTCTTATTTATTTGCTTCTATTCTTAGTGAGTAATTCACTACTATTACCCTTAAGTGTTCATTTCACACATTTTACCAGTCAGTTCTTTTCCTCCACCTTTTTCACACTTAACAAGGAGGTACTCAGTTACCTTACTACCCATCTGGCATCAGTTTCCATCTTAGCAAATTGCATACTCCTACTTTTATTGTATAGTATTATTATTGTTCCCTTGGGCTCAGAGTGGAACATACGGCCTCAACAGCACGTCTCCAATTTGTTCTATTCTCCTCGGTACTTTTTAGCTGGCCCCACGATTGGCCATAGTCTCTCATCTCCTCCATGTCACCCCACACCGACGACCCACTCGTCTCCTCCCATAGAGATTCCACTCGAGTGATGGTCTGCATTGCGCGCGACGCCATTCGACGGTCTCCCAGGCGCATGCCTAATCCATCTCCATTTTATTCTGCTTACTTGTTGAACAATAGGTTCTTGGTTAGTTTGTTCCCATAGTTTCTTTCTGACCAACCATTTGACCTTCAGTATGGAGCTAGCCAAGACAGCTGTTGGTAAAAGTCTGTAGTTGCCTATTGGAAATGTTTTTTGTGACGCCAGCACTAAGTTTCTGACCCATACCGAAGAAGGTTCTGATTGATAATTTGTGTTCAGGATCTGAAGCTTGTCCTCTATGCCAAGTGCAAGAGATTTCCAAACCGATTCAGAGTCTGTCTTGCTTTTCCAATTCTGATTTTGACATACTTATCCGTTCCGCCTGGAGTTGAAACAATGCTTCGTAAATAAGTGACCTTCTTCAGATTTATTCCGTTGACAGTGACTGGTGCTTGTTGTTGTTGCTGCTGCCGGTTGGTTATCTTCATCACCTCTGTCTCTTCTATGTTCACCTGAAGTCCTGTCTTTGCTGCTGGCTTCTTTTGTCAGTTTGTGTGTTATCACCTGTAGGTTTTCGAGTATTTGTGACGTTGGACATAAATCATTCGCGAAATCAGAGTCTTCTAGGGTCTTCTTACCGGCCCAACCTTTTCCTGTCTTGTCGCCCCCATTCACTATCTTCCTCGTAATCCAGTGCATCAAGATTAAGAATATCATCAATGGGCAGCTTGGTCCTATGAGTTAGTTCAGGATCTTCAGTTAGTTCTTTTTTAACTGCTTCTAATTCCATACTGATTGGTATATTAGTGTACAGACTAGTTATATCAAAACTAACCATTGTTTCATTATTCTCTAATTGAATGTCGTTTAGTTTCCTTTTCATTTCATATGAATTAGTTAGCCTAGAGTTTGAATGATTTCTAATCGGAGATAGTATTAGAGCTAAGTGTTTTGATAATTCATAAGTAGAGGTATTTCTGAAATCTACTATTGGTCTTATGGGGTAACCTGGTTTACGTATTTTTATAGTACCGTATATTCTACTAGCATTATTAGTTTTAGGCATTAAATTAAACCATTTAGACTCACCCAGTGATGGCTTCATTCTGCGTATTAAATCCGCTGTAGATTTTTAAACCTTATTCATTATTGTATCTACAGGCATCTTAATTTCCTCATATGGACCCATTTCAATGTGTTCAGTGACTTTCTTGATATAGTCAGATTTATCCAAAACTACTGTTGAGTTTCCTTTATCAACTTTTGTGATGACAATGTTTTTAACCTGTTTCAGACCAATCAGAGCTAGTCTTTCCGATTTTGTTAAGTTTGATTTTGCTTTCTTTTGATTTTTCAGGGTTAATGCACATTGTGCTTGAACCTCTTCTGCTGTCGTCTTATCTATTGAACCTAGTGCTACTTCTATGTTAGGAATGACATCCTCTGATTTTAATTTACTAAATGTTACGTTGAAATTTAGGAATTTGACAACAACTTCACGTCCTCGATAGTAGGGAAGTGAGTTAGATAAAAGTGCTCCAGAAAGGACTAAATTTCAACGTAACAATTAGTAAATTTAAAACTAGATGATGTCATTTCTAACATAGAAGTAGCACTGAGTTCAATGGATGAGATGAAAGCAGAAGAGATTCAAGAAAATGTGTATTAACCCTGAAAAAGCAAAAGAAAGCACCATGAAACTTAACAGAATAGGAAAGACTAGCTCTGATTGGTCCGGAACAGAATAAAAACATTGTATTCACGAAGGCCTTGCTGACTGACTGGTGTGAGTGCCAACTAGCACGAAACCTGCGTGAAGCAGGGATTCCTGCCGTTTGTCTCCAACCATCTATTGTCAATAATTAACCATACTGGTAATTGCCTGTCAATGGCAATTTAGAAATTCCATGTTAAAGTTCATCCCTGATGGATACGAGCGAATTCTTAGTAAATGTGTATTTTTTACGAGTAATGAATATCTTTGATATAAGAATAGAACTTGTGCACTGTGGTAGAGTATAATTCCACTATGGGTAAAATTTATTTTGATAAACTGTCACAGTGTTTGTTATACAGTAATATTTACTGATGACCACGTTTCGAGCACAATTTATTATTGCTCATAATCATATCAAGGCACTCACTCACACAACTTTCTAACTTCGTTTATATAATTGTATCATTATTTTTCATTGCTTGATTTGACTGGTAGTATCATTTTCCATATTTCCGGTGATGAGGCACTCCTACTGCAAATGTTGTGTGTAGATTTGATGAACAAGGATTCAGTAATCAATCTCCCTCTCTCCACCTACCTATATTATTTCTTAGAATTTTAACCCTCTCCCACCATATTGTGTGATAATGCATGTAGTGCAATGCAGTGCTGAGCTTTTTTTCTAAATTACTTATCTTCCTGAGGTCAGTCATTCAACACTTAGCTAAATTCTTATGTTCTGACAACCAATCTGAATACTTCCGATCTACTAGTTTGATCGATGTAATTGACCTCACTCACAGTCATTGCAAGGTATTTTGTAAATTATATCATTTTGTCTAATTGGATCAACCAACTGGGTCCATTAACCTACAGAGCTTGTCCTCCCTGAGTGAGTTTGTAGGTTTAAATGCCACTCTGGTTCCTGCTTTATTAAGAATCCTACGTAGGGTCTCAGATATGTCCTCTTTATATGGTAGAACTGTAGACGCCTTATATTCTCTCTTATTTATGCTATCATTACTAGTTTCGCCATTATTTTTATTTTGCTTTTGGTCTTTACTGATCTTCCTAATGAATTTTATAGGATAGTTAGTTATTTAACACCCATAATAGAATAATGATTATCTGTTAGCCTCATAAACAAAGATCCTGTTCCAGACCAATCAGAGCTAATCTTTTCGATGTTGTTAATTTTGATTTTGCTTTCTTTTGCTTTTTCAGGGTTAAAACACATTGTCCTTGAACCTTTTCTGCTGTCGTCTCATCTATTGAACTTAGTGCTACT